AAGCCATAAGGCGCTTCTCTGAATATCATATTTGGGGAAGAAGTGAAAAATAAGCAAACTCTTATATCTTCAGGAGTTATCTGAAAATAACAATTATAATTACAGATGTTCTCCTTTTGACTGATATATAAATAAAAAGTGACACTCTAGAAACAGAACAGAAATGTAAGCTAGTGTGATAAAATAGAAAAATATTGCTTGCATTTTAACCCTTATTCCAAAACTTTTGCTTTGACCTAAAGGAGGTGTTTGTCTTAGTTCTACGAAACAAAAAACACAGATGACATTTTCAAATGATTTAAGAATCATTGCCTCTCTCAATGCTAAGACACATGTTTATATACTGTTTGACTTTTTTCATTGAGATTAACATAAAAAAATAAGCGTGTTCATTGATAGCAATATAACCATGGAATAAGTCATTATTTCAGATTAAAAATGTTATATTTAATAGGGGAAAAGGTGACCTTATTAAAGAAAAGCAATCTTAGTATTTTAATCTCTAACTAAATAAATGCAAATTATTAGTATTTGAGAAACTAAATGTAAGCAACCAAAAACTGAAATCTTGTTTTTGAAATGAATTCTGATGAATGATGCCACCGAAGAATGTTTTATACAGAAATCTAAGAAAACACGTGAACAGTTTCTAAAATATCAAAAAACTGAAGAGAACAGAGTACACTAAAATGAAAAATGTTTGTACTTAATACCATATTTTAGGAAATGAAATATCTCAGTCTAATTACTTAGCAGAATTCACATGGAAAATGTGTATAACTTAGGCAAAATCTTACAAAATCGACAGATGCAAATTTAATGAATTGCTATAATACACAAAAACTGAATTGCACCTGGGCTCTGGAGGCAGACAGATATTGGGTTAACATCCCAGTTCTCCCATTTGTTAGTTCTGGTGACCTTTTTCACTGTTCTCTGACAGTTTCCTTTTCTAAAAAAGAGCAGGAAATAGTAGAACATTCCTATAGGGTTATTGTGAGAATTAGTTCAGATAACACATGTTATACCTGGTAGAGTGCCTAGTACATAGTAAGTGTATGCTAAATACTTCTTGGCCAAATAAAAAAAATAATAAAAATATCTCGTGATAATGCAAAACTAATAAAATACTGAAATTTCAAAGTATACTGTCAATCAACTCATTATGTGAATGTAATTAAGAAAACATTTTTTATTGTATCTGCAAAAAATGTATCTGGAATAACCCTACTAACAAGTATTCAAATAGCTATGGATTCATTTGATCACTCATTCACTCAACAAACTCAGGATGAATACCATACATCAGACACAAGATGCTTAACCTGCCATAAGACAGAATTTTTAAAGTGGCACTCAACAGAATCATTTTAAAAATAACTGAGAATGATGAAGCATGTCTTGTAGTTAATGCCAAAATAATACATATGAAATAATAATTTGTTAAGCACCATTACTCAGAGAGCAAAATCAGGTGACAGTTACCTCTCCTAACTTTCTGTTTCTGCCCTGGCTCAGAGTTCACTGGAACGTAAACACAAGAAGAACCGAGACTCAATCTTCTCTTCCAGCAATGGGTATATGACCAGAAGCCTGTCTCTAAAGTCAGATATTGTGTCCTCAAATACAAAATACAGAAAATAATACCAGCTTTTGTTTTATAGTTGGGTTGAGAATTCAAAAAACATATAAAGATAACCCTATAACCTCTAAAGAGCTAAAGAGTTATGCAATTATTATTGTTTTCATTTTTTTCTTTTTATTTTCTTTCTTTTTTTTTTTTTTTTTCCTTGAGATGAGGTATTACTCTGTTGTCCAGGCTGAAGTGCAGTGGCACGATCAAAGCTCACTGCAACCTCTGACTCCTGGGTTCAAGCGATTCTCATGCCTCAGCCTCGCCCGTAGCTGGGATTACAGGCATCTGCCACCATGCCCGGATAATTTTTTGTATTTTCAGTACAGACAGGATTTCACCATAATGGCTAAGTTGGTCTTGAACTCCTGATCTCAGGTGATCCACCTGCCTTGGCCTCCCAAAGTGCTGGGATTAGAAGCATGAGCCACCACATCCAATCTATTATTCTTAATAGAAAATGTAAGCAGAATTTCATATTTTTATTCTCCCAGCTATACTGAGTACCATACAGATTGCAGAAGGACTATTTATGCATTCCCTCTTCTCCATGATGTGAACTGCTATAGCTTTCTCCATCTGCATCTAAACCAACTCTTACTTCAAGACTAAGCTCAGACAGATCTTCTTTTAGGAATCCTTTCATGATCTTCTCTCCCTACTCACTATTGACTCAAGTTCTATATCTGTGTGCTCCTAAAATTCCCTGTTATCCCTCTATAAGACTACTTCCACTATTTTGTAATTGCCTTTTTACTTGTTTTCCAACATTACTAAACTGGAATTTCCTGAAAACAGGAACCCAATCTTACTTGTTTTTGTATATCTGATATGATAATTATTCCAATAAAAATTTGTTGGTTGCATTAATAAATGAATTAATACTATGCCAGTGAACCAATTTTTTAGGGATTACTATATACTACACACACTTCCAAGCATTTAACATAAATTATCTCATTTTATTTTCAAAAAGAACTCTCTAAGATAATAAGTATGGATACTATTGAGAGATTAGGTATAAGAAAGTAAGTAATGGCCAAAATCACACAGATGTTAAATGGTGAATCTGAGATTCCAAGTTCTCTTAGTCATTATACTAACTGCCTCCATCCAGACAACTCTTAATTGTACAGGTTCAGAAACTGTGTTTTATCATTTTTGCACAAAACAATAGGTCCTGATTTACTAACAGGTATGACAGAATTTCATACAAAATTAATAAATTTTATTAATTTCTAATAATGTATAGAAATGGTAAGTAGGCCAGCCAGGATAGTATTTTCTGCACTTCATGTTCTCATTTTTAAAAGGCTATTTAAGACATTAAACTTGTTTATTTATTTAACAGATATTATTAAGCACCTATTATGTAATAGGTGTTTGAGATAAAACAGTAAACTAGATGAGAGAAAAAAATATTTTTCCACTTCTCAGTAATGGGAATTACTCAGAAATTCCATTTCTGGACCACCACTACCAAGGCAGTCTGCCATTACTAAGAATATATATATATATATATATATATATATATATATATATATTATGACGTTTATAGTCTAGCTAACTCTTATTTGGCACTTACTATGTGCCAGGAACTGTTCTCAGTACTTTATATTCATTTATGTAATATTGAATACATATAAAGTACTAAGTACTTCTACTAAGTACTTTATACATATTCATTTATGTAATATTTATAAAAACTCTATGACATTTGTATAATTATTACCCTAATTTTATAAATATGGACACTGAGGTAAAAGGGGTTTTAGTAACTTGCCCAAGATTGCAGCTTTGAGATCTGGACTCAATGTTTGAGTCACAATGAACTTGAAATTAGGCAAGGGAACAGTATGTTAGTGGATCACATCATGCAGTCCAATGGCTGGATGGTAGGGACTCTGCTATAGAACAATGATTGCCAGGAGTACCAAATCACTGGCTCCTTCACTCACTGCATCTTGTTCCCTGTGTTGTGCTGCACACTTGCCAGCCAACTTTCATATTCATCCATCAAAATTACCTCATGCCTTGAAAGGTGTAATACAATCAAGTTGGCTACGGTTTCTTTATGTGAATTACTGGTTAAAATAAGACGGAGTCCATTGTACACATTTCCCAGGGTGGAAGAGATAGTTTATGCGTCATTATTTTAAATCTAGAACAGTCTCAATTTTATAGTTTCAGAGTATAGAGGCTCCCAGCCTTTAACTACAACTATTGCATAAACTGGAACCAGAAATAAGCTTTTATATTAGTAAATCACTTATAGCACTGAATTTTGTCTTTTGAGATCATTGCTAGCACATGGTGTCAGCAAAGGCACAGGAAAGTTTTCATTACGGGCTTTTTGTTTAGTGATATTTAAATATAATTTATATAATATAAATATATAAATTATTAATATATTATCTTATATGTATGTAAATACTATTTCATCAATTACACACTTGCTACATTCTACAGTGAAATAGCACCATTACCCAGAGCTATTTTGTTTTTCAGCCCTCCTCAAAATTATATCTTCTTAATGGTTGCAGTAACATTGTATCTGAATTGAAAATTTGAAATCTAAAATTTTAGTAGCACTTTACATTAAATACAAACAAAAACTGATTAAAGATGTCTCCTTGGAAAATTATTTAAATATGTACTTATACTTCTTTTCTGTTCAGGTTGTTCTCTGTGACTCTCTTTTCTTTTTTTCTTAAGGTATGTTAGTCCCATTCAATTTCCTTCTCAGTACTCCACTAACACTTCCTCTCAATTCCAACTTAATCTCCTATCTGCTTTCCCATTAACCTTTAATATACACACTTGCTATCTCCTCTTTACTTCCTATCTGGCCCATTCATCTCTCATTTCTTTCCTAATATAATAGATGTGAGAGAGGAAACTCAATTCTCTAGAAAACAAATACAAAAATTAAGGTCTCAGAGATTAGAAAACAGTACAACTCAATTGTACTACTTGAACACTAACATATTTACGTATCATTTTTTCTCACATTTTTTTCACCTTCCTTTCCTAAACAAATATTTTAAGAAATAAAAGTCGCGTGCTAATTTGTAATTCCTCTTTGCTCCGTCAGCTGCAATTTCTCTAAACTGCTCTTGAAATCACCTGTTCAAAGGATATAAGTACCTCTGGAATTTATCATTGTACCTCTAGTACCTACTAGAGTGATTGCCACAAAGTAGTCCTTCAATGAGTGATGAACAGAACTGAAATAAGTAAGTTTAATACTTGATAGGAAAATAAATAGTTAAATTAAAGGAGAAACTGCTGTTCATACTAGCTGGCATGAGAAGGACAGAGTTGGATGAGAGCAGTCAGTACTCACAACTTTATCCTGCTATCCAACCTCTCCTCTCTCATTATCTTTTCCATATCGCCTAGGCTATCTATAGTTACAGGCTCAAAGACTCAAGCAGCTGAGGGTATAATGAGTTGCTTGGTTTTGATCCTAAGTAAATGGTGACTCAAATCTAACATTTACCTGAAATAAAAATCTAAATTTAAAGCTCTCTTTAATGATTTTGCTTTTCTATTATTCCTAGCTCCTTGTAACAGATTTTAATGCACACTGTTTGAATGAAATCCTCACATACTTCCCATACAATTTGTAAAATTTGTATGTGAAGTTAGAAGTGCAAGTAACGCCACAGATCAGGCAGAACAGTGGTTTTCAAATTGGACTTTTTCAGGGGCTCCTTTCAGGGGTTTTGAGTTTCCCACTCCCTTCTCCACAGTTTAATCAGAGAAGATCCGGTTTACTTTATACCTTTGACTTCAGTGTGCATTTTTATTTGCAGAGAGAAATCTGTTATCATAAATTGTGAAATCAACCAAGCTAATTCAACCTTACCATCTAAAAATGAATAAAATCAGAACTAGGAACAGCAATAATTGACACTTCAAAAACAAACTGGTAGCAGAACCAAAATTTGAACAACTAAAATAACAATGAAGGTCCTTAATTCACCAGGAATCTTTCTCTTTCTGGTTTACTATTGGAGAGTATAGAATAGTTGATTTAAAAAAATGCATATTGGACAATATAGTAAAAAAAAATTATTCTACTATAAATGTTTGCATTACTCAGAGTAAATCTCCTTCCAAAAGTTAATTAAATCAAGTTTTGGATTAACATATAGTAAAAAAAATGAAAGACATGTAAGACAATATGTTTAACTTAATAAATGAACTAATTTCATATCAGAGAATAGAAATCCATATATGATGCAGTGGGGCCATGTGGTCAGAGCAGAGAATACAGTCATGTGTCACTTTAGATGTGGATTCATTCTGAGTAATGCATCATTAGGTGATTTTGTCATTGTACAAACATCTTAGAATAAACTTACACAAACCTAGGTGTCATAGCCTATTGCTCGTAGGCTACAAACTTACACTGAATACTCACGCAATTGCAACACAGCAGTAAGCATTTGTGTATCTAAATATATCTAAACAGAGAAAAGGTACAGTAAAACTATAATACCAGAGATAAAATATGGTGCACCTGTAAAGGGCATTTACCATGAATGAAGTTTGCAGGACTGAAAGTTGCTTTGAGTGAGTCAGTGAGTGGGTGGTGAGTGAATATGGAGGCCTAGAACATTACTATACCTTACTGTAGACTATATAAACCCTGTACACTTAGGTTGAATTAAATTTATTTTTTAATTAATTGCCCTATAATGTTACAATGGCTATGATGTCACTAAGTGATACCTATTTTTCAGCTCCCTTATAATCTTATGGGCGCACCGTAATATATGCTGTTCATTGTTGACCAAAATATTCTTGTGTGGCGCAAGACAGTACTTCTACAAGTTAAATTATATTAATGTTGGCGACTGATAAATACTGTGTAATAACAGTCAGATATAAGTACAGGTTGAGATAGACAGCTTAATTCTTAGAGTTCACTATGGTCAAGTCTGAAGTAGAATGCAGCATTCCAACAGGAAAAGCTTAAAGCAAAGAGACAGTTTTGCATTTGTTCACCAACAAAAGTAAGGCCCTGAGTCAAAGACAATTGGTAGCATGGATAGGTATTCGAATGCTATGGATTTGTGGGCATTCTAAGGGACATAAATTTTCAGGACCTACCAAACTGTCCTTACCCCTAAGCCATTACACTGACCATTTAAAAGGGGCCTTTTTTTATTAGTCACTATAAAACGAATCATCTTCATTCCTTTTGAATCCACTATACAATAAAAAGACTTTATCCCCTAAGTTTAGCAATTTGTTTGCTTGCCAACATAGTCCCAATATTTACTATAATTTTATGAGAAATGTGAAAATTTAATCAATCAGATATAAAAACACTCTCTATGTGCTTATATGTGTTGTTCCTATTTTTCTTTGTTTTGTTTTTTGCTATTATGTTCCTTTTACCTGATAAATTTCCATTCTCTTCAGGATCAACACCTTCACATATTCATTATATTAAAGAAAAAAAGCTCAAAATTCAGATTAAGGAGGATTTGTTTTACCCAGAGTAAAATTCACACTATATGACATTTTCCAAAACGTGTGGAATAAAGCAATCTGGGCTGTAGCACACAGTTTAGCCACATTGTTAAGCCATCATCAGTACCTTAATAAGGAATTTATACAGTATCATCCATCCTATATAAATATTATAGCAAACTCTTAAGAAATTCTCACTACAAAATTCAGATTCAATTAATCTTAATATATATTTACATGTATAAAAGTTAAAGATAAAAAATGTACTTCAAATATTGTTAAAGATAGCTGCATGAACTAACCCAATTTTTTTGCTCAGAAGGAGGATCAAGAGGAAAAATATAAAATTGCATGTCATAAGGAACTGTTGAATACTCCAGTTATAGCACATCATTAAATGAATGGTGAGGAAACAAAAAAATAATCCTTTGATTTTAAATTTCAATGGACTAGATCACCAAAATTTATTTCAGTTTCCAATTTTGCCAATATTGTGTTCTTTTCTTAAAAAAATATCTTCTGAAAATTTTTACATTTCCTGCAAATGGACTTAGAATGAGATCCTCCAGGTCACATGACTTGTTTTGCAAGTTTTCTTTTGTTTTGTTTTTCCTAACCTTTATTTTAGGTTCAGGGGGTACATGTGCAGGTTTGTTACCCATGTAAATTGTGTGTGCAGGAATTTGTTGTACAGATTACGTCGCTCACCAGGTAATGAACCTGGTGCCATATAGATAGCTTTTCAATACCCACTCTCCTTCTGCCCTCCATCCTCATGTAGGCCCTGTTGTCTGTCTGTTGTTACCTTCATAGTGTCCATATGTGCTCAGCGTTTAGCTCCCACTTATAAGTGATAACATGCAGTATTTGGTTTTCTGTTCCTGTGTTAACTTACTTAGGATAATGGCCTCCTGCTGCACCCATGTTACTGCAAAAGATATGGTTTCACTCTTTTTTAATGGCTGTGTAGTATTTCATGGTATATATGTACCACATTTTCTTTATTCGGTCCACCATTGATGGGCACTAGACTGACTCCATGTTTTTGCTATTGTGAATAGTGTTGCAATGAGCCTATGTGCCTATGTGTCTTTATTGTAGAATGATTTATTTTACTTTGGTTATATATCCAGTAATAGGATTGTTGTGTCTAATGGTAGATCTGTTTTAAGTTCATTGAGAAATTTCCAAACTGAATTCCACAGCAGCTTAACTAATGTACATTCCCACCAGCAGTATATAAGCTTTCCCTTTTCTCCACAACCTCACTAGCATCTGTTATTTTTTGACTTTCTAATAATGGCCATTCTGACTGATGTGGGATGGTATCACATTGTGGTTTGATTTGCATTTCTCTAATGATTAATGATGTTGAGCATTTTTACATGCTTGTTGGCCATGTGTATACCTTCTTTTGAGAAATATCTGTTCATGGTTTTTGCCCATTTTTAATGGGGTTGTTTGGGTTTTGTCTGTTAATTTGTATAAATTCCTTATAAATTTTGATATCAGACTTTTGTCTAATGTCTAGTTTGTAAATATTTTCTCCCATTCTCTAAGTTGTTTACTGTTGATAGATACTTTTGCTGTGCAGAAGATCTTTAGTTTAAGTCCCACTTGTCAATTTTTGTTTTTGTTTTGTTTACAATTGCTTGTGGAGTCTTTGTCATGAAATGTTTGCCAAGGCCTATGTCCATAATGGTATTTCCTAGATGTTCTTCTTGAGTTTGTAAAGTTTTACTTTTTACATTTAAGTCTTTAATCGCCATCTTTTTGTGTATGGTGAAAGGTAGGGGTCCAGATTTAGTCTTCTGACTATGGCTAGCCAGTTATCCCAGCACCATTTATTGAGCAGGGAGTTACTTACACATTACTTGTTATTGCTGACTTTGTTGAAGATCAGATAGTTGCAGGTGCACACAGATTTATTTCTGAGTTCTCTAACCTATTCTATTGGCCTAGGTGTCTGGTTTTGTAAGAGTACCAAGCTGTTTTGGTTACTGTAGTCATATAGCATACTTTGAAGTTGGGTAGTGTAATACTTCCAGTTTTGTTCTTTTTGTTTAGTATTGCTCTTGTTATTCTAGATCTTTTTTGCTTCCATATGAATTTTAGAATAGCTTTTTCTAGCTCTGAGAGGAATTGTGTTGGTGGCCTGATAGGAATAACATTAAATATGTAGATTGCTTTAGGCAGTATGGACATTTTAACAATATTTATTCTTCCTATCCATGAGCATGGAATATTTTCCCATTTGTTTGTATTATTTCTCATTTCTTTCCACAGTGTTTTGTAATTCTGTTTGCAGAGATCCAGCATCTCCCTGATTAGTTATATCCCTAGGTATTTCATTCTTTTTATGGCTATTGTTCATGAGACTACACTCTTGATTTGGCTGTCAGCTTCAATCTTATTGTTGTATAAGAATGCTATTGATTTTTGTACATTGATTTTGTATACTAACACTTTGCTGAAGTTATCAGATCCAGCAGACATTGAACAGAGACTATGGGGTTTTCTAGATACAAAATCATATTATCTGTGAAGTGAGATAGTTGGGCATCCTCTCTTTCAGTTTGGGTGCCTTATATTTCTTTTTCTTGCCTGATTGCTTTGGCTAGGGCTTCCACCACTATACTGAAAAGAAATGGTAAGGGTGGGCATCCTTATTATGCTCCATTTCTGAAGGGGAATGTTTCCAGCTTTTGCCCATTCAATATGATAAAAGGTGCAGGTTTGTCACAGATGGTTCTTACTATTTTCAGATATGTTCCTATGACGCTTAGCTTGTTGAGAATTTTTAACATTAAAAAACGTTGAATTTTATTGAAAGCCTTTTCTGCATGTGTTGAGAAGATCATATGGGTTTTGTCTGCATTTGTGTTTATGTGATGAATCACATTTATTGAATTTTACAGATTAAACTAACCTAGCATCCCAAAAATAAAGCCTACTTGATAATTTTGGACTGATGTTTGATGTGCTGCTGGATTCAAGTTGCTAGCATTTTGTTGAGGATATTTTCCATTTAAGTTCATCATGGATATTGGCCTGAAGTCCTCTTTTTCCTTTGTATCTTTGCTGGTTTCAGCATCAGAATGATGCTGGCATCATAGAATGAGTTAGAAGGAGTCCCTCCTACTCAATTTTCTAAAATAATTTCAGAAGGATTGCTACCAGCTCTTCTTTGTGCCACTGGTAAAATTGGGCAGTGAATTGACCTGGTCCTGGGATTTTACGGTTGGAAGTTTTTTTATTACTAATTTAATATTACTATTTGTCATTTGGTATGTTCAAGGTTTTAATTTCTTCCTTGTTCAATCTTGGAAGTTTGTCTATTTCCAGAAATTTATCCATTTCTTCTAGGTTTTTTAATTTGTGTGCATAGTGGTGTTAGTAATAGTCTCTGAGCGTTGTTTGTATTTCTAGAGGGTCAATGGCAATATCTGCTTTGTCATTTCTGATTGTGTTTACTTGAATTTTCTCTCTTTTTTTCTGTATTAATCTAGCTAGTGCTCCATCATCATCTTTAGTCTTTAAAAGAACAAACTTTTGATTCCGTTGATCTTTTATGTGGTTTCCACCTCTCAATTGTGTTCAGTTCAGCTCCGATTTTAGTTATGTCTTTTTTTCTGCTAGTTTTGGGGTTGGTTTGCTCTTGTTTTTCTAGTTCCTCTAAGAGTGATGTTAGGTTGTTAATTTGAGATTGTTGTAACTTTGTGATGTGGGTGTTTAGCACTATAAACTTTCCTCTTAACATTCCTTTACTTGTGTCCCAGAGAGTCTCATATTTTGTATCTTTGTTTTCATTCATTTCAAAGAATTTCTTGATTATGTCTTAATTTGTTAACTCAAAAGTCATTCAGTAGTAGACTGTTTAATTTTCAGGCAACAGTATGGTTTTTTGAGATATTGATAATGATTTCTATTTTCATTGTCCTGTGGTTTGAGCATAGTTGGTATGATTTCTGTTTTTCTGAATTTGTTGAACTCTTTGTTGTTAAGATCTCTACTCGTCCCAAGAAAATACTTTACTTCATCAAATTATTTCTTTTGTGCCCTCTTTGCCCAATGAAAGCTACAGCACACATTTAAAATTTTCTGTCCTGAACCATCTTAACTCTTTTCTCATAACACCAACATAAATCTATAAAACAGGTTAATAAAATCTACCTTCTAAAAAGAAATCCCAATTAAAACTAAAGATCAGTTACTACCAAAACCATTCTGATTAAACATGAAATTCATATAACTTCCATTCCATACTTCTTCTAGTATATTGAAAGGGAAGAATGTATTCCAGAAATATTAAGGAAGACATAAATTGATCAGATGTGGGTCTGAAAATGAATTATTTTGATGATTCTCAAATATCTGCCTTGAATAATTGGAGGAATGTAATTTCTGTCATGAATAAAGACCAATGACATTCTGATTCAATTTCCATTCTAGAAAAGTCAAAGCTATAGGGACATAGAACAGATCAGTGGTTGCCAGGGGCTAGAGGTGGGGGGAAAGATTTGATATAAAGGGCAGCATGAGGTAATCCTTAGGAATAATGAAACTATTCTATACATTGATTGCAGTGGTGTTTACATGTTTCTATGTAATGGTCAAAACTCATATAATTGTACATTAAAAAGAGTAAATTGTAGTATATGTAAGAGAAAACTGAAATAAAATAAAAATAAAAATAAGCAGTGCTTGGCAATGAATTATTTTAAGTGGAGATATATCTTTAGAATTAAATGAATGTCAGAATTATTACAGAGGAAAATATATAATTAATAAAGCACTGGAATAGAAACTTAACTAGAACAAAGAAAATAAGATTGTTGCAGGCTAGAAACAAGAAGGAAGTAAAAATATTGATTTGAAAGTGAAAGACATATAGTAAAGGTGATATCACCTAGCACCACCCCAGGTGTCTTATTTTTGAAAATTACTTCTGCTTTTCTACTTTTATACCGGATCAAAAAGTCATTTCCAGAGAGCTGCTGGTCTCTGTTGGTCCTGCTCTGATTATCTGGTTAGCGGAATTTTCACTGTTGAATATAGAAAGAGGTACATGAGAAATGTAATCTAAGGCAGGCAGCTCAGACAAATTTGATAGGTTACACAGTTTAGACAAAGAAGTAACAGTTACTGCATTCTGGTCATCTGCTTTACTGAATGAATAAGTCTTGCTGAATTTGTTTGTTAAAGTATCTAGACCTATCACAACCAAATCAAGGGGGAGACTATGGTCTTGGAGCACATCCCCTGTACATACATGCACCATCAGTGAGAGTTAGAAAACTGACCCTGCCCTTCCTCTGCAGAACTCAAACACTCTGCTTCCCACTCACACTCTCCTCTCCCCTCAGCAGTCACAGCATTGGTATCACTGCCTTTGGAACACCAGAACTAGTGGCATTATATCTTTTTTTCCATGCTAGTCAAGAACTAATTCTAATTCAGCTCTTGTCTCAGTCTCTTCTGACCAAGCACCTTTCTCTAGTCACCCATTTGTTGCGTCTGGTTTTATGACAAAAGTCTTTGAAGGAATCTATGCATAGCAGTTCTTTGTTTGTTTGTTTGTTTGTTTTTCCTGTTCTCTCTTAAATCCACTAAGTTAAGCTCTATTTCATTCATACAGCTGTAGTTACCAAATTCCATATCCCTCATTCTCTCTTTCTCTCTCTCTCTCTATATATATATGTGTGTGTGTGTGTGTGTGTGTGTGTATGTCTATACTATTAAGTATACATATATACTTAATAAACTCTCCTTATACATATATATACATGTATATGCTTAATAAACTCTCCTTTATACATATATATGTATACATATGTATACACATGTATATATGATATATATATATATACATATGTGTATATATATGTGCAAAGGGGAATTTATTAAGTATAACTCTCCTTTATACATATATGTATATACTTTATATATATATATATATGCTTTTATGTATATATGTATAAAAGAGAGTTTATTAAGTATTAACTTACATGAT